GGATTTTTTTGTTTATTTTCATTTTGCAGGGATTGTATCCAGAATCTCATGGTATTATTGATAACAGCATGTATGATGTTGACTTGAACGAGCATTTCTCGCTTTCGGGGTCGGAAAAATTCAAGCCTTCGTGGTGGAAGGGGCAGCCAGTAGGTTTATTTCTCATCATGGTATTCCTTTATGTCTAGAGTGGCTCATGTACCATATTATAAAACAAACCAGAAAGAGAATAAAATGCAAAGCTGTGTGATATATTTGCAGTACATGCTAAATATCCTGTAGGCTTCATATTATAGGCTGCCTACAAAAGTTTGCTTTTTATGAAAGTAAAAGAACTCTTAAAATGTTAAATCTGAGACTTAAAAATGTCACTTATTGTGGCAGTTAGTAAAAAAGACTTAAATATTTTGGCTAGTATTGGAATGGATCTCTTGCCACAGTAAATTTTTAATACGGGTTTATTGTGGAGTATTTTTTTGTTTGTCTTTTGACAACTAGCTACAAAATGAAATCTGGAAATCTACTTCCAAATTATACCCATTTACAAATACAGTTACAAAGTCCAGGCATACAAAAGCAAGGAAGAGAATAGCAGAGAGCTTAATTTCCAGGAAAATGAATACCTTATATATAACATATGGCACATTTAATAAAATAACCCCACCCTGATTGTACCTATGGTTATGATTACTATTATTCATTTACTAGAAATATCAAGCTGTAATAATGGTACAAAACTATAAAAGATACACATGGAGTATATAGTAGATCTACTTAATATACATTTATATGTTCATTTACATGTGTTTGTCTGTATATATATGCCTGTGTAGTCATGTTTATAGCATACTCAAGTACCCAGGTTTTGGTGCTATTGTTTCATGAAGGATTCCATCAGGTTTGTAACAGAACCACAGCCTCATTCTTTAAGATGAATAGAAATAATGTCCTCTTATAATAAAGTCATATAACTAGAATCCATATCTAGAACAGAACAGAATAGAATAGAATTGAATAGAATAGAATATTTCAGTTGAAAGGGACCTACAACAATCGTCTAGTCCAACTGCCTGACCAATTCAGGGCTGACCAAGTTAAAGCATGTTGTTAAGGGCATTGTCCAAATGCCTCTTAAGCACTGACATGCGTGGGGCATCGACCACCTCTCTAGGAAGGCTGTTCCAGTGTTTGACCACCCTCTCAGTAAAGAAATCAGTCCTAATGTCAAGCCTGAACATCCCTGATGCAGCTTTGAACCATTCTTCCATCTTCATGATCCATTCCACTGGCATTTGCCACAGCAAAAAAGGGTCACTACCTGTTGCCAATTATGGAAATACCTATATGATTTTTTCCTATGCTGAGAATACCCAGGAAATGGCAACATCCTAGCTTCTGTGCTACTAATTTTTCTTCAGAATGTGTATGTAGAAAACAAACTTCAAATCAGATATGGTCATTAGGCAACCGTGTGATGTGTGAAAGAAGAAAGAGAAATGCATGCTTGCAGCCCATATTTCTGATCCAATTATGTATTTTTACTTTGGTGATCTGAGGTCCTCCAGTGGTGTAAATGCCATAAAATCATTTGTTCGTATCTTTACCCATAGGTCTGGCTGACAGCAATGTACCAAAATTTGAAAGCAGGCACCTTCTTTTGGCCAGGCTCTGATGTTCCAATTAATGGAACATACCCCACCTTGTACAGTGTATTCAACAGGTAAGTTTTTATAGGGCTTGTAGTAAATACCTGTAAATTACTCCAAAAATACAAATTGCCATATGACAGTTGAAAGAAATGAAATATAAGGGTTTTAAACTACATGATTTTTAAACAACAGTCTGAGTGATAAGTGCCATGTCACACCGTCTTGGTTTTGCCATGAAACTACCACTAATAGTTGAAATTTTCAAAACCGTTTAGGGGATTCACAATGAGAAAGTCAAAGGGTACTGTATATTCTGCCCTCCTAGGAAGTTTTGAAAGTTCCAGAAAACTGCAAACCACTGATGTCCCACTAGGAAAGCATCCTATAACTGATCAGTAGCCACTGCTAAGCTATGTCAATGATTACCATATTCCCACACATAAGATCTACACATACGATATAGCTCTTTAAAAATACTTGTACTTTCAGATAACCTATACCCTAAGATAACGAACACAATCTTGGAAGCCATGGCAAGAGGCTATAGAAGGCAGAAACTAGTTGAAGAGAGGATGCTGGATAGGAAAGCTACTGAAGGAAGATGGGCTCTAGATCAATTCCCTCTGGTCTTGCTTGCGTGTGTGATAATGTGCACACTGCTGCTGAATCATAGTTCTGCATGTTTTGTCTAGTTAATTCACAGGTTATACATGTGAAAATATAGCAATTACCTTCATAATATATTTTTTTTCCTATGGAAGGCATTGATATTAGTAAATTATTTATAAATTTTCATTATGATTTCAGTAAATCTCCCATGATTCTTTACATTTACAAAGATAATCTAAAGCAAGTATATAACTGTAAGTCTCTATAGATAATAAAGGTTTTGCAGCAATGTGTAGGATTGGTACTCAGAAAACACCCGAGTGCTGTAGGTAACTAACAGAAAGCTTGTGCATGACTTTGAGGGAAAGCAAAGCTATTAATAATAGGTGAATTCCTTCATAGGAAACAAAGCAAGACCTCACAAAGATTTTGCTGGGGACATTACTTGCTTTTAAAATATGAAAGTCCAAAGTTTATACATGTCGGAAAGAATAAAAATTATTCTGACTTGTACTTCAGGTTTATGTCCTGAACTTGAAATTTCTTTTTTGCATGTAATTAATTATAAATAAATGAGTACTCCCATCAACATCACATGTTTGTGTTTGCAAAATCAGGATCTGTCTAATTTACCATTAATAGTGAGTTACATTCAATCAAAGATGATAATAATAAAACTGATTGCTGGTACCTTGTTAAGATGCATCATTCTTGAAATCCAAATCTGTGACTTTACTATATGACTAGAGGGTGGACGCTTTCTCTGTATCTTGGAATTAGAAGGGCTTATCAGAAAAGCCTTGTTAACATCATATCATCATATCTTTTCTTTTTTTTTTCCAGTTCAGTTACATATGAACAGAGAATTTCAGGAATATTGAAATGGCTTGATTATACCAAATCTGAGAGGTAACATTTAGTAATATCTAGCTGGTTTGTGAGACTATAGCTTAGAAAGGTTTTAATGCTTAGCAATTGAAATTTCTGTTGGTGTTTGTGAAACATGGAATCTTCCTCACCATCTCAAATGATAATTTGCTGAACTTAAGCCTGTTCTATAAGTATAGCCAATCATTTTCAGGATAAGATTGTAGATACAAAAGATGAAAAGCACACATATACCTGAATGGGATGTACTCTTGTATAACTTTGCTTTTATTGTTGTGTCTTTTTTCTTGGTGCATGGCCTAGAGGAAACATGGAACATTCAGTTTCTAGTCTAAGTGTATGGATAAAAGATTTTATATGAAAGATATTACACAAGAAAGGTTAAATATCTGAAAGTAATTGCAGGCAGTAATTCAAGATGAAAAGTAGATGTCAGTACTGATTGTGGTGCTCAACTTTGTAATATGTAAACAAGTGAAATCTTTTATATGATAATTTGTTAATAAATTCCTAATATATTTGCAGTTAGGAGATGCTCTCTAGAGCCTCACTACTTAATCAGGAAGAGATCCTTTAGGTGAGATCCTTCTCAAAAAGGAACAGCTTGCTCTGCTGTCTGAGATCTTGCAGTCTTTCAGAGTGATTTCTGGATACCAATTAAAGACACTGGATACTGTTTCTGAAATTGTAACTTCAAATAGTCCATGTTATTAATTGCAAAACTCAGAGGAAGTTGAATGATTATCTTTGCTGTATGGACTTCTATTAAGGTTTAAAGAAGTTATTTATAATTCCTTTTTAAGTTTCATTTAATATTTTTTTTTAATGAAAGTGTTATTTTGAAATGCTGTGTCCAAATTCTCATAATATTCCATTCTTACTTATTTCTAACTCAAGGCCTGATTTCTACACTTTATATATTGAAGAACCAGATTCTTCTGGACATTCATTTGGACCAGTTAGTGGTGGTGTAAGTAGTTTTTGTGTTTTTCTTGGACTAAATCACACTAAAAATGGTGCTGTACTATGAACTTAACCAACACATAAACTTGGAAAGGATAGTAGATCAAAAATTACCGTGACTATTTTATGAGTTTTTATTAAGAACTCATGCTTGTGGTTGGGCCCATTGTTATGATTCCAAGACTGTGTGTGAATCAAAAGAGCTGTAAACCAAAAAGACTGGCAGAAAATAATTTCAGAAATAATATTAATGGTTGTATTTAGACTGAACTTTAATTTTATTGCCAAGTGATATTTGGAAGCATGTGGCCTGGCAAATCCTCAGAACTGTCTTTTATTTATTGCTAACACTGTACTTCATTGTTTATTAATTTGTAACACAAAAATATTACATTTTTACTTGCATGCAGGCAGAAAGTTCAGTCTTTAAGGAGTTTAGGACTTATCATATCAGCTCCTTCCTGGAATGGTCTTGTTTAATATATTTGAAAATCGTCTTCAGCAAAAGGCCTTGTTGTAGTGGACAAGGACAGAAAAACTGATCTTTGTAGGATAGTTTTAGGCTCCCTAATTGGAAAGGGAACTCCATTTCTCTTTGTACATAAAGGGCTTAAAATCCCATTACTGTATGTGCAATTGTATATGTGTATGTTGTCCACGCACAGAAGACATTCAAGAGAGTGCAGCAGAGTTAGGGGAACAAGACAGGAGCAAGTGCTCAGACGTGGAGTCCTCAGAGTCAGTCAGGTATTGTCCTTACTGTAGGAAGACTGTAAGTCAGCTGCACCAGCTAGGGAAGAGCTGTCCTCTGTTAATGGCTACAGGGTAGGTTGTGCTGGATTTCTTCTATGTTACTTCAGTGGTGGTCAGTGGTTTTCTGCAGGAAGTTTAAAGGGACTGTGTATATGAAAGAAGGGCACCATGCCTTCTTGGATGCTACATTGGTGTTATAGATAATATGTGTGTAAATATTTTTGAAATGCTGCTTATTTTAATACAATGACACGTTCATACGACAACAAAAATTGTATTTAATGCTCTAAATCTAGATTTATATAAAATCTATATTTAGATTTTATATAAATCTAAATTTATATAAAATCTATAATTTTATATAAATTTGGGAGTGAGGAACAGATTTGATCTGAATGTGTTAATTTTTTTTCTTTCAATAAACACATTTTAAAGCTCAATTTTTCTAAGGTAATAGAAAAAAATTAATTGCGAGTCTTTTCTTAAGTCGCATATTCTGCGGTAGAGTAGTGGAATTCTGCACATCTAAAAAAAAGAAAGAAGCAGCAATATTAAGAACCTGAAAACTGACAGAAAAGCTCACTTTTTTCAGACTTTATTACATTTCAGTGAGAACTTGAAATCAGAAAGAAAAATTGTAATGAAACTGGTTTATCTCACAGGTAATCAAAGCCTTACAGCTAGCAGATCAAGCACTGGGGATGCTAATGGATGGACTGAAACAAAGAAACCTGCACAAATGTGTAAACCTCATTGTTTTAGCTGATCACGGTAATGTATATAGTTCTTTTTTCAAATTAAATTTTAGTGATCATTGTTTTCTTCCTCTGTGTAATATGTGTGCTAACTAGTTTTAATCTATTTTATAATTCACTTTATCTTCCTTGCCATATACTATATATAAAAAATAACTGTTTCTACATTGTCCTTTAGGGATGGAGATGACCTACTGCAAACAGTTAGAATATATGACTAATTACTTCCAAAAGATTGATTTCTACATATATGCCGGGCCTGCAGCTCGCATTCGAGCAAGAGATGTTCCAAAGGACTATTTTACCTGTAAGTGTGGACCGATCCTGGGATCATGCAATCAATATAACAGGAAATAAACAAACAAATAAACAAGTAAATAAATAGGGAAAATGGATAATCAGTAGTAATCAGCAGAGTGAACAGCTTTCTGTTTCACTTAACCTGGCTTAAACATCCATGGAAGTTGTTTGGTTTTTTTGGCAACAGCTGCTTTAGATGAAATTGAAGGTTAGAAAAGCTTGTTGCAGACTCCGATTTGCATTTTCTTGGCATGTGGAAAGGTAAAGTAAAGATAGTTTTATTGTTTTGGACTGGAACTTCAGGTCTTTCGTAAGTGCATTGCTCTTCACAGATTTCTTGTGCAACATTGGCAGACTCAGTCTTTTTGAAGCAGTGACTATTTCTAACTGTGTGTACAAAGTTACGGAATCTGAATCTTAGCACAGTGGGATCTAAGCCTAGGTTGAGCCCTTTAGCTAGTATCACAGAAGAACACAAGATTGAAACCATGTGAGTTGACTCTGATTCAGAATAGATACCGTGCTACCAGACTAAAAAAAAAACCATCTCAAAACTTTCTATTTCAGGAAAAAGAATGGAGAGAGGTAAAACCATGAAAGTGCTCTGTTTAGTGAGTTTACAGAATTCATAAAGTGTTCTAAAAGGCATAACTCTTGCAGATCTTATTTAAGAGCTGGGATCCCATTGTACTTTTTATTTATCTTTTCTAATTGTATTTATATTGGTAGGCATAATATTTATACAACATAAAGCAGACTTTGCTTGGTTTAAGTAGGAGACAGTTGAAGTCAGACAGGAGCAAAGCAATAAGCAGAGGAGAGAATAATGATGTTTTGTATGTGTCTTAGTCTTAATATAATTGTTGACTCATTTCCTCTAATGGTCTTACTTTTTCTGAAGGAATTTTCCTTCTGTAAAGTGCTCAGGTTTGTTTTTTAGAAAGCTAATGTCAAAAGGTTAAAGTCACTCTTTGAAAATGTGGAAGGTGAAAGTACTAAATCAGACTGGATTTTTCTCTGTGACTGCTGCTGGAAGTGGAATACAAGACAAATGCTCCAGGTCCAGTTCAATGTAAAAAAGGTTATACTTCAAACAGAACTTAGGTGGGAGAAGAAATTTTGGTTCTGATGATGTGTCAGCTTTAGGTGAAGAAAGTCATCACCATGGCAGTTTTCTATAGTCTGTCTTGATGTAACCAAAGTGCCAGGTACTTCCACAGACTACCACACTTACAGGAAGTTACACTTGGAAATATAACATTCCTACGCGTGGAACGTTATGGTTACCATAATCTTCACAGGCTAATAAAGAAATTCAATTTTACAGGCAAAAAGCATGTTGAAATTTTTCTCATGAGGCTTTGGACCTTCAGCTGTTTGAATGTATGTTAATTCATCTTTTCTTTTTAACAGTTGACTCAGAAGGAATTGTTAAAAACCTCACGGTGAGTAAATGTTTTCATATTTTTTCTTCATAGTTCCTCTTAATAGGAATCTGATCAAAAAGCACAGTTTGTGAAAAACTGAGACTACAGTGCCAGTTTAAATAGTTTACTGACTCCAGTGTACCACAGGAGGCAGTTCTGGACGTTGTTCAAAGATGGTGCACAAAGGTTTGCCATGGAGAATTTCTGTCCAGAGCAAAAGAGTTTTCTGTACTTCACTTTGTAAGAGAAGTGGCTGACTGTGGGTAGAGAAAGTAGGGTATATCTTCATTATAGAACAGAATACAACACAGAGATGCCTTAGATAATAGGCATCTGTAGCTCTGGACCACAAGTGCTGCGCCCAGGCTAGGTTAAAGCAACTTTTCCACACAACAGATAATGACTTTGTAGAGCACGTTGCCACAGGATGTTGTAGAGGCTGGAAATAAATAAGAAGGGAGGATTTTAGACAAATTAATGGAGGACAGGCCTGTAAGGGCTATTAAACATGATCCACAAGCAACCTCTGACTTAAGAAATCCCTGAAGACTAGAGGAAACTGAGCAGGTACAAGAAAGAAGGTTCATTCCATACTTGACTTGTTCTTACGTGCTTTCTCTAAGTAACTGATTCTGGAAATTCTGAAGATCTGATTGGAAGTAGAGTAGTAGGCAAGATGGACCTTTGGCATGAGGCAGTATGGCTCTTTTAGGATCTTTTATGACGTATCACTTAAGTACTTGCAGTGCTTTTAGGTTTGCTGCACTACCACTGGGCCCCATACGGATAGTTCTGCTTGGATCTCTGCCATACTGTGTGGATGTAGCACTTCAGGGCAGGTCCAAGTTTGCCCGTGTCTCACATGTAGACCATTGCTCCTTGTGGGTACACTCTGTGACAGCTGAGCTCTGAAGAGTGCAAACAAAGGAGTGCAGAACAGAGTGCAAAACAAAGGAGGACCAAGCCTATTTCTTTTACTGAAAGGTGGTAAGATATGACAGTGTATGTTTTTCCTTATACCTTTTTAGATAGATAATTCTCTGCTTTATTTTTTTAGTGTTCAAGATATGCATTAATACATGTGGGATGAATGTGGTGGACAAACTAAAATGCTTGTAGGAAAGTAGTCTTTTTGTATTTCTTTGCATTTATAATTTACACTGAGTTAAACATTTAAACTGCTTTCTCTCTATGTATTGTCATAATTTTCCCTTCTTTCCTTCATTGACAGTTTGTTTTACTATTCTGTGACTAGTCCTAGTCCAAGCAGTAGACAGATGTTCTGATACTTCTAGAATAAATGCTCTCAGCTTGGAAAAATTCTGGGCTGTTTCAGCTGGGTATATTTCTGATAAATCACCACTAGAGGTCTTCCTTTAACCTGTCGAACAACTCAGTTGTGCAATATTACATGTAGCTTTTGCCTGCCACTAAAGTCCAAAGGGCAGTGAATGTTCCTGTTCAATTTTTTCTTGATTCTGAATACCTAAGAACACGTCCTTTATTCCCCAGCATCCAAAGCAGATGCAGGAGTAGGATATCAATGGTTGGGAATAGCAGAAGGAGCTTTTTCAGTGCTACCCTACGCCATTGTATGATGTGGAGCCTGTCATATCAAAGACCATTAGTGTGAGGGGAATAGCACGATTTGCATGTTCTCAACCCCAGTTGAAACTGCAACTGCTAATAGTTACAGAGATGTGACATGTCTGCCTTACAGGAATAGCCTGGTATTAGGACACTTCCTCTTTCCTTTTCTATTCATAAGTAGTTAAAGTTTGTGTATTTTGTTCCTTTCAAGTTCTTAGAATGAGGGTTTGGGGCAGAGAAGGGAGTTGTATGTTGTATGTCAATTGCTAATCAATAGACGTAAAGTCATACTATAGGTTGATTTCCTCTATTTTTCCCTTTAATTAGACTATCCTTTGTAGAATGACCTCCTTTCCTGGGCTAGCAAACCCATTGAATCTTTATTTTTTGTGTTCCTAGGTTCCACTATGCTTCTTTCATGACTGTCCAGGCACATTTACTCTCATTTCACATGTCAATGTCATTCTGTGCAGAGTATACAATTCTAGTACTTAGAAGTGAAGATGTCAGGTCAGACTCCGAGCATGCTATAGTTTGTACTGCCTGTGTGGTAGAACAGGTCCACTTCTCTGGCTTACCCGGCTTCTTAGCAGCTCTTCCCTCAGCATTTTAGATGTTCTGTGTTGTCCCAGTGCTGGATTCCTGATCAGGAACAACACTTCTGAAACATTGCGATGATGCTTGCAGCCAGCTGGAATGCTCCTGATGGCCATATGTAGTTTAATCTTTGCAGTATGTCATATAGTTGTCATTAGGGTCTCAATGCCAAACTCATCCATGGCATGCCTGCTAACACAACAGTTATATTAACACATTAAATGTGGATGTAAAAGCTAAGGCCTTTAGCTAACAGCTGACCACTGGACATACACATGGCATGAGAGTACATGTTCAGTCTTGCAACTAAAACCCTAGATTGTCCTACATTATGTATACTTGGTTTTCTTTCTTATTTATTGAATGATAAAGTAACAGAAGATGGCAGAAATAAACTTTCTCTTGTAGAGTGTAATCTTACATACTAGATGCCAGTGACATTAGTATGGACATATAGACTAAACATTACTACTAAATGTCTTTCAGCCTTAGGAGTACTTTTACCACAGTATTTGTGAACTTGCTATACATATTACAGCAGTATATTTTCAAATAGTTCCAAAAAAAGCCACTTTTTCTTCCACTGCCTCTCAGGCCAAAAATGAGATCTGCAGGTTATCTGAGAAGCTATCTGTGAATAATGCACTTTGTGCTTACGTTCCTGTCACTAAGATGTTTGTGATAATTTTGAATGATGGGTTTATTTCTGATATTGAGCAAAACTCATGACTGGGCTCTTTCCTCTTGCACAGTGCAAAAGATCCCCTCAGCACTTCAAGCCTTATCTGACGCCTGACTTGCCAAAACGATTCCACTATGCTAACAACATTCGTATTGATAAAGTTCATCTTTTGGTGGATCGACAGTGGCTGGCTGTGAGGTAACCTAATTTGTATGACACTTATCGTTTTCATCCCATTCTCATCCTTTTAATTTCCTTCACAGATGCCTCATTTCCTGTTTTGCTTTAGACTTGTTACATTTCCATGTTTGTTACATTTAAAATCTTACTATGTGAAAAAAGGAAACACGCCTTATACATAAAGCCAAGAATGTATTATTAGTATGATTCAAATCTTAACAGTCTAATAAAAGAATCATCATTACTCCAGATGAAATTTTTATGGAAAAAAAAAAAGCAAGAAAAAAGAAAATAAAGAAATGAATAGTACTGCACAGAAAAAGTCTCAAAAATAATGCAGTTAAAATTTTTATACAAAGCCTTTCTAGTACCTAGCCCTTTTCCTGGCGTTGAGGTCACCCCTCCACTGCCCTTCTGGGTCCTAAGGTTGATGGCTTCAGTCTGGTGTATGTGTGGATACAGCCAGCAATCAGCATTATGAGTCCTTCATCAGGAGGAAAATGATGTCGATGTTTCTTCTTCCTCACTGTGTGATCTGAATGGGGTCCTTCCTGTATGTATGCTAATGCTACAGCTTGCGAATTCTTCACTGGCCTGCAAGTTAACATTACATCTCAGTTCACTAGATATGATGCATTCTACATGTGTTAGATATTTGTTCTTTATTCTCTTTCCTACCTCTAAGTCTGGTTTTGCTCAGTTCCAGATCTGCATTTCTTTATTGACCATTGGTGAGCTGTTTCTAGCCTTGGGGTCTCCATTCTACACAGAATAACTAATTGTTACTGCTGTCTATACAAAAACTATGTCTTTGCCATGCAAAGATAAGCTGATAAGATAACAAATTAGACATAACCACCTTGTCATTAAAAAAAATTACTGTAAGATCTAAACAATAAAAAAATAGCTCTGAGCAAGTCAAGAGCAGTTCAGACAAGCCTTAGTCCTGAGGCTTTGAAAACTCAATACAAAGCCTGTGGTGTTAGTAGCAATACTGTATTTACTGAGCGACAGTGTTGCAGTAGGAGAAGCGTGAGATGATTTGGGATTTCAAGACTACTCAAATAGTAGAAAATGCCTGATCAGTGCATGACTTGATTGTTTGCTTTGCTGCAACCAAATAATTGTCCTGGACATGTAAAAAGAAATGCCCACTGAAAAATCTCATATTCACCCTTTTTTAACTGTGCTCAAATGTTCTTGTGCCTCTGAAAACAGGATACATGTGCTTGACAAATGTGCATTGGATCAGTATGGGATGACTATCTCTTCATCTTTCCATGTATCTCAGCAACGGGTAAATTAAAACAAGTGTTAGTCATTATAAGTCAGACTATTCTGACATGTTATTAATTCTATAACCCCCACACACACATCCACATCTCTCCTTCACCGTTTAAAATCCATGATGAAAATGCACTGTCTTGTAAGGCAAAATCCTTTGCAGTCTTATTTATATCGTTCCACAGAGGCTAACAGCAGAGTTCTCCCGTTATAAGTTTTCTATTAAAATGCAGATACCACAGAATACAACTGAAGAATTCTTCCTAAGCAGATTACACTTGTTCTGAAACTTGTAGCTAGGTGAAGGCCTCAGTTCAAAAATACCCATTTCTCAATTTCTTTTTCAAAACTTTGATTCATTGTACACTCAGCTACCTAGGATAATTTATTTCTGTCCATAGCAATCTCTGTTACAGGAGAAAGAGATCTCCATAAAAGTGAACACTGGATGAGAAAAAAAGTACTATAATACTATGCCAGAGTCAGTTCTTAAGACATGATCCAGAGTCCAGTGATTCAGGATGACTGTTATTAACTGGTTCTATTTGTGCCATTTTTATTTACACTATATGATTTCTCCTTAGGGACAGAAGTTACACATATTGTGATAGGGGTAACCATGGCTATAACAACGAATTTAAAAGTATGGAGGTAAGATGATTTCTATTCAAGTCTTCCACCTTCTTATATAGAAAATCATGATGTGCTAGGTGAACTACTACAATATAGAGTATATGCAGTATATATAGAGAGTTTTTGCAGTGTGCTTTTTCTTTCATGTCACCCAGATAAGTAAACTGTGAACACATACTGGGTCCACATTTCCGTATTGCCTTTCATCAATGTGTATGAGGCCTGCTTCCTTGGGATCCTGTAGTAAAACTTGTCTGGGATCACCTGAACTCCAGGGAGCCAGATAGACTGCAGTAAACCAAGCATACCATATTTAGCTAAGGGACACTGAATTCTTTCATTCTTCTGAAAAATCTCCATAGGCTCTGGGAATTCAGTTGAGCATCTGAAAGCCCGTGTGCTCAAATAAACTAAATCTCATTGTCTCTGCTTATCTTACAAGACTTAATCATATCATCAGAGCAAAAAAGTGATTAGTATGACCTGTATGTTAGTATAGCCCGTATTGCAGTTCCATCCCATTTTCACTTCTGGTTACAGTGAAAATATTTCGAGGTCTTGAGCTTTTATTTTTTCATGTGTTTTCTGTGATATGAACCTTTTAAGTAAGGTCAAACACGCTACTACTAGTCCCATATTCTGTGCCTAAGAATCAGATTCTTCCAGATCTTCACAACTATATTAAAACCATAGGTCAATATACTGAATGGTGCTGAACGTTTGTATGGAAAGAAAAGGTAAATTCTGGTTAACATGGAAACCTTAAGCATAGACAACCTTATGCTGGCGGCACAATGACTGAGGAAAATTTTTTTGTTTGTAAAGGACCAAAATGTCTTAATGTTGTCTTTTTAAAATAAATTTAAAATTCCTTTTCTATTATGGGAACATAAGAATATTATTTTAGAACAGATCATTGTCCTGTTTAGTCATATTTCTTGTATCGTATGGCAGGCAGCTCAGGAGGCTTATAAAGTAGTAGAAACAAATGTGAGACTCTAAGTAGTATCAGTATTCTGCTACAATGCTTGCAGACCCCAGCAAGGTCCGCCCAGTACTACATTGTACCATTGGTGGTACTGATACAGGTCTCTGCTGAGCTTGGGATGGGTCTCCCCAGTTCCCTGCTCCTTGCTTTAGCCAAGGCTGTAGGCTCTTAAGTGACCCAAAGACTTTTGAGAATGCAACATGTATTAAAACAAACAAGCAAACACCTCATCCACCCACCCCCCACCCCCCCCGCTTATATTTCTGGCTCAATATTAGCCTTTAGATAGGATCTGTGAGTGTCATACCTCTGCATTTGTTGAAATGGCATTGTTGCTGGCTGTTGCAATGAAAACATAAAAAGGTGTGAATTTGAAACTTAGAAAACAATAATTTTCATAAGTATGCATCAAAATATTAAAGAAAAATATTAAAGAATACCCCCGCCAGATTCATTATATAGTTTAAAGTATTCTGAGAAATGAATTTATGTTTTGCATTTTTCCTCAAGTATATGCAATGAGAAAAATTTGCCTTCTTTACCAGAACAATACATTTAACTTTTATGACTGTGAAAAGACTGTATTTTGTTCCAGTGTCTGAATTGTGCTGAATTCCAGCAACTGAATTGTTTTTGAATTTGGATTCCTTTAGATAAAAACTTTTGTTTTATTACAATCTAGGCTATATTCCTAGCATATGGCCCAAGCTTTAAAGAGAAAACAGAAGTGGATGCTTTTGAAAACATAGAGGTTTACAACCTTATGTGTGGTGAGTAGAAACAATCCAGTACTTCAGATGATAAACCAACAGTTTTTTCAAATACCAGTGTTGTAAGAGCTGAAAGAAGAGTAACTAAAAATTGAGTGAATTCATTCAGAAGTTAGGTTTTTCACACAAAACACTGAAGGCATGCTCTTTTGCCTTTTGTACAGTGCTAAAAGATTAACCGCCAAAAATTGTTCTGCTTTGAATGTTGTTTCTGATTGCAGAAGTATTCCACTAAAGAATCAGAGAGAAGTGCTCCTGCCACGTGGGCTTGCTGTTGAAATGATGCCGGTGGAATAATTGTGGGATTAGAATCTTGTAGAGAGTTACCACTCTTGCTCATAACTTAAGATGGACCATTGCAGTCCAGGCAGTGAACAATTAGGAAGTACGTACCTCAGAAAATATGGATTAAGGCATCGTACAAAAATGCAGTAGGCTAGTACGCTTCACAATGTGATACATTTGCAATCACATTTGTACTCTGCATTAAATCATCTAATCTTATGAACCTTATGGCAATGTATAAAACTGTATCAACAGTACTCAAGTACATAATTACCAAATCTTGATGCAGTGGAAGATAGCAATGAACCTTCATACCTAGAAAATTGCAAGTTGATGGTAGTAGTTACCATAATAGTTTAGAAAATGGAATAAGCAACTTCTATATTTAGAATGAATGCATAGGAAATGCACAGAATTGGAAAGATAATGATTTTTAAAAATGTCATTTTAGTCTTAAAATATGTTTACTAATTTCAAATGTTTCAACAGATTTGCTGCATATTACACCAGCACCAAACAATGGAACACATGGCAGCTTGAATCACCTCTTAAAAAAACCTTTTTACAATCCTTCACATGCAAAAGAAGACTCATCTCCTTCTTCATGTCCAGTTTCCAGTCTGACTCCCATAGATAACCTGGGATGCACATGCATGAATGTAAGTAGGGGCTTTTGGGATATTTTAATCATCTTTGTCACCTGTGTTCTCTTTTCATTGTTTTTTCTAAACTATGAATTCATTCTGAATGATTCTCTTATATTTTACAGGTAATGAATGATTCAGAACTAAATGAGAGGTTAAATCTCACCACAGAAGAAAGTAAGTACCAAGAAATGAAAAGGACAGCAATATTTTTAAACTTGTGCCTGGTTTAGATTTTGTATTATTGGTTTCAGAGGGAATTTTTGCAATGTTAATTACAATTTAAAGTGAAGTAGGAAAGCCAAGTCAGAAGCATAAATTTTTTTCTTTTTTCTTTGCATTTCTTTAAAAAATGCTAATCGATACTGTTATAGCAACATCTATGCATAGGAATCAGATCTGAACCCCATTACAATCTTGGAAAAAAACATACAGGTTTCAGTGGTCTTTGGAGAAAGCCCGAGCACTTCCAGGCTATATGCCATAACTCTTGTTCCCAACCTTGTAACCATAACTTTGCCTTTCTCTAATCAAAAATTCCCATAGATATTTCTGTGTGCTTTTTTATGGGGTTTCTGGAAATTTTAGGAAGCATTGTAATGCTTCCTAGTCAAATAAGATGTAAATTTCACTCTACTGGCAAGGTAAGTTCAAAAGATTTATATTGGTATGAAATTGCAAAGAAACAAGAATTTGCAAGTCTGATATATTACATTGACTTTTGTACATTAAACATAACATGAAAACTATTTCCTACATTTTTTTTTCCACTCATAAGCTAAGAACTTAAAGAAACACATGTCCATATTTACTGTTGGTTTTATTTTTATTTATTAATGTTTTAATTTACAGTTTTTCTCTGCTCTCTTAAACTTTTGTGCCATCCAAAATGTTATAGAAGAATGAATCAATAATTATTGTTTAAATTCTAGTAAAGAAGGCAAACTCATATCATTTGCCATATGGGAGACCCAGAGTTCTTCAGAAGAAAAATGTCTACTGCCTCCTTTCCCATCATCAGTATGTGAGTGGATACAGCTATGATATCTGGATGCCACTGTGGACTGCGTACACTGTGAATAAGCCTGTAGGTTATCAAATATCCATAGTTTTCTTAAATATGTAATATAATGGATTGTAAATGTGGTTCATTCATCAGGAATCCTGGTTGAGGATTGATGGATATCATGTGACTAAGACACTTATGTCTGAAAAAGTGTCTTTGATATCTTTTAAATTTCAACTGTCTTAAAATACTGTTTAAAAAAGTGGGAATAGCCATCTGTTAGGGACACAAAAGATGTAGAAGAATAGAGCTGCTGGTAAGCTGCTTCCATTAAGCCTGTTCTGTAAAAAGGATAAGCTGCCAAGACAGTGCTCCAACTTGCCTGTCAATTCCTGAGGAAAAGGAGACTGTGATTTCCAAAATCAGAAGCTTTTAAGCTTTCCTATGAATATCATGATCTTTTTCCTATTAACAAACCTTTGTGCAACTCTGCAAGACAGTTTGTACTGATGCATATTTCTGTATGTTCTGTTTATTTGCTCTCTTTTACATTATATAATTTCTGAAAAATGTAATTATAGCTAAATGAATCTCTGAGAGTTCAAAGGTATGTGGCTCTGGAATAAATTGTTTGAGTTTTCAGGGTCAGTAAACTAGTGGACATTCATGAGCTTAATTCCTCCTATAATCTGACCCTTTTTCTAAGCTGCCCTGAAGAAATAACTTTTACACTGATTTTTCTGTCTGAAGAAAACTGTTATTGATGTCTACATGATTTCTTATTTTATCAGTACAAATATGGGAAAATTATTTTAATCAAATATATACTGCTAGAATGTTAGTATTTCAGAAAGTGTTACTCCATACTTTCTACTGTTTTTTCACAATCTAGGTGAAGGATCACAAATCCAACCCTAAGAAGGCTTAAAGTCTAGTGAAACAAATGTCCATTTCAACAAAGATTGTTTTTACTTCACAATATTTGAAGATCTGCTCTTATAGCTTACTATGAAAGCACATTACCTTAATGAAAACCAGTTAACTGTGGGCAGGTTTTTTTCTGATTTTGCTTTGGAAAGATTAAAAAGTTCCACCAGAGCTGAGGTCTCTTTAATATTTCAGCACCAGCAGCAAAAAGCTCAAAAAAGCAAATAACTTTTCAGACATTTTCCTTTGTTGCAAACCAAATTCTCAGTTGGAAAAGCATTGTATAAAGAAAGTTCTTGCCCAATATAACATCTAAATCAACAGAAATATATATTTGTGGGAGCTTCTTATAGTGGTTTATGCAACATTGTGGGAAGCAGCGAATGATTGAGACTGAAGTATTGGAGGGTATAGTTCACAGCAGACTCTAATACAATGATGTATGTTTTCTACAGAAAGAATAGGAAAGAATAGATTTCCTCTGTAATACTCTCAGAGACACAACAGCGAAAGGTTATAACTGTAAGAGCTCACTCACTGACTTACCTTACACAGTAAGCTGACATCATGGTTTTTTATTACAACATGTACTAAACAAGAGAAAAAAGCTTTATAAATTCTAACAGCAGTGGAAGGACAGAGGGATAGCCTTTGGCTGTAAGCTTTGGCTACATACTTGGGAATGACAGAAAATTGCAATTTCTACAGAAGTTTTTTTGCATCCTAGGTTATTTATGTTGTGGATAAAGCCTGTGCCGTGATTTACACAATTTGTAAGGTGGGGCATTTCTTGACATTAGATTGCTATAAAGGAGGGCTTAAACAGTAAAATAGATGATGCAGGCTGGAGTTTTGCTGGTTTTGTGTGATTTAGAAGTTTTGAAACTGGGCTGGCTGATCAAGCCCACACAGTATTAATGCACCTGCATGCGATATCAGAATCAGGAATATTATGAATAATACATAGTTACAGATCTCAAATAAATGATGTCAGATAGAATTTTGGTCACTTAGTATTCTCAGTCAAAGGGAAATTTAAGATTGAAGGACATTTATTTTCCTGAGGTTTTATACTCATCTGCCAGGGAGGAAGGCAGATTTTCTTGCATAAAGATAGTCCCTCCACCTCCCTGAAGACACCTGTGGAATTTAAATAGGTTTGCTATGTAGAATCACTGAAGTTTAGTATAAAAATATATTCAATTGTATAACAATCTAATCAATCCTGCAGTGGGATGAAAACAGCAGTGAGTCTTGTATAAATCACTGGGATTTTGGAACTAAAACTCAGTGCAGTGGGGACTATGGGAGGGTTTTTTTTTGTGGTTTAGTGTTTTTTCTTCTTGACTGCTGAAAAAAGATTCCTGGAGGTGGCTGAAGTTGACATGACAGACCACAGCAGATACTTAAAGTCTGTCATGTAATGCAAATAACTTATGCTTCTTGACATTAATTACTAGCTCCTCAAAAGACAATAACCTGCATCAGAAAAGGTAATGCATAATGTGATAGGCAAAGCCATTTTTCAGTTGTAACTGTTTTCTTCAGAAGAAAACAGTTCTTTGATCTGAAGGACGAGGAGCCAAAGGGCTAAAGGTGTTGAATTGGTAATTAATGTTTTTTTCTGATTCCGAAGTTTTGAGGCGGTGGCTATCACTGTCAAGATCTCATTTCTTAATAAATGAGCACTTTCAACAGCTTCTTGGAGAATCGTTCTATTCTTATTGATAGACGACCTGTTTAAAAATAGCTTATTCCTCTATTTCGAGGGAAAGAAATGAAAGGAGGCTGTAGTACAGTGAGTGTATTAGTTCACAGAGCATTAGCAATACGGCTTGCAATCTGGGGTTGCATTAACTTTTGATCTCATCGTGCTAAAAGGTGACACAGACATAGCCATTCTGATGGTTGGACTCGATGATCTTAAGGGTCTTCTCCAACCTTAACGGTTCTATGATTCTATGATTCTATGATCTCTCAACAGCTTTTGATACTGTTTACTTGCTGACTTGTAGATCCTTGAAAAAACAAGCTGAAATATTCCTGAGTGGTTGCTTTTTCAGTATTTTGAGAGTTCGTAGCTTCATTATGAAGTTGGAGAATTTTCTCCTGTGATGTCCAATGGAAATAGCCAGGAGCAGCCTTCATCTCCTAAATGTATGGGAGTGTTTGTGAAAGTACAGGTGATACAATGTATTACATATGTGATGGACAGACAGCTCCAAAACACCGTCCTCCTGCCTTGGCACTTGGATTAGAGCTCATAGTTCATATAGTTAGCTTCAAGAAATGTGAAACAACGAGAAGAGAGTTGAGTGGTGTCCTCATTGCTTCAAGTTGGAGAAAATGTGACTGCTATTAATAACCCAGATTCATGATATAGGTCAAAAGCAGATTCCCTGCTGTATTTGGATAACATTAGGTGTGACTACTGTATTTAGTGAGAAGAATGAAGTTTTCCTCAGGACAGTCCTTGGCATGTTTACTCATACCTTTGTTACTTTGATTCAGGTTTCCCATCAGAGACCATAAAGAACTTGAAGCTACTGTTGAATATTACAGCTCAGTTATTAAGTTTAAAATACTGGTTTCTTCAGTGACCCTGATCCATTAACCCTGCCTTATTGATTTGCGTTTGCTTGACAATGACACCTTATCTGCTCAGGTGGCAAAGGCAGTCTTTTGTCTTTTGTATTTCATTCCATGTGGTATATATATTTTCCATTAATATACAACCTGCCCTAATATGGGCATCTACAGGAATTCCCATAGAAGTAAGTAAAGAAATTAAATCAAGGAGTACAAAGAGGCACAAGAAGAACATTCCAGTTCTTTATTTCTGCTCGGTTTTAACCGATCAATATAAACAATGTAGTGGAAATCAATTTACATGTTTAACTACCATTTATAAAGGCATAAAACAAATAAATATGTTCCATTCCTACCAAAATAAAAATAAATTACATGTAAATGAGTATGAAAAAGAAAATGCAGTTAAACACAGAAAAGCATATTCTGATGTTTTAGTTAATGCTATCATAAAATTACGATAGAATTATGATACGTTATAGAAAAGGTTATAAAAAAAAAGTAAAGGTTATAGAAACAATTATACTCATCAGAATCACTTTTGGCTAGATCTTAGCTAGTGTGCCTGTTAACATATGTCAGTGAAGTTCGTGAAGCTAGCCAGTAAAATGTACTGAATTTACTATGAATTTATTTAGCTTTAACTCTTCAGCAGCACAGACTCTTATTATGGAGATAGCATTCTCAGATGCTAAGATGAAGTGCTGGTGTCATCTTTATATACTAGCTGCTTTCCAGGAGGATGTGACATCAAGTTTGTGTTTCCAGAAATACATAAAAGTGACGAATGAGCCAAACTTGTCACCTGTTTTTGCCTAAAGTATAACCTTATTTTGCTACTACAGTTTTACGTGCTGCATAAGGATTTCCCTGAATTGCCTAAAAACAGAAGTAGAGGAAAAACACTAGGCAGAAAACATCAGTGTCGATTACTTGCATTGACCTGATTCACTGTGAAAATAGGAGAAGATTCAATGAAGTCTGTTCTAGAAAGTTAAAACCATACAAAGCATTGGGTTAGCCGCAGCCGTGGGTGTAATACTTTTTTTTTTTTTTTCCCTTTTCACAGGAAAACACATCTCCTCTTCCTCCCACTGTTTCAGACTGTCTGCGGGCTGATGTTAGAATCCCTGTTGCTCGGAGCCAAAATTGTTCCAACTACCCAGAAGGGCAGACCTTTACCCACAGTTTCCTCTATCCTCCCAGTGAGCGTGGTTCTTTTTATAGCTAGAGCTTAGAAAGTCTTAATCAGCTGGATGTGGGTTTATGTTTAAACATATACTCAAACACCAAAACAAACTTCTTTGGATCAGCATGTTGGGCAGAAAAAGGTTTCCAGTATTTGTAGACTAACCAAAAGCAGGGCAGCTGCTACTTGTATCTGAATATTTTCAGTTTAGAACATTAAAGTTTTTCTTTAAAAAATGGAACAACTTGAATGTGATGAAAACTGTTCTGAAAGATGTAAAGGGTTGAAGGGCTGTCCCTCTTTCTCTGTATGAATATTCATTTCCTATTGTCAAAGTTTATAAGTACTTTATTGAACAGATTGTACAAACAAATTTGGAGATATGTTTGCAGTAGGATCATGCACTCATGCTCAAATGTAAAATGTAATTGAATTACATGTGCCTGCAATTTATAGTGACATATGAACTGAATTCTTCTTTGTATAGTATTTAATTAATTTATACTTTGTTCTTTTACACAGACTTCAATTCATCTGCTCTTGAACAGTATGATGCCTTACTGACCAGCAATATTGTTCCCATGTATAGAGCTTTCAGAGGTAGGTTGCCAAGTTTTCATTAATTTCGATTGATTATTTTCTGTAATTATGGTTCTGGATTTGATAAAGCTATGACAAGGACTTAAAAACATTAAGCCTGCAGTATATCTAGATCTTGTGCAAATACATTTAAAGCTTTTCAAAAGCATATGTGTGAAATTTTAAAATGCACTTAAGTAAGTTAATTTTTTTTCTGTATATAGTCCTGTCTGACCTCTGCTTAGGTGTACCTGTTCACTTTTGAATTTTCTCTTCATCTCCTGTGCGCTGTCCTAACATGAAATGCTAGCTATGAAACTCTCATTAAAATATCCCCTTGAGGAAATGCTCCAGGTGAATGAAAATGGCACTTTTTCTTTCCTTTTGCAAGGTCTCAAGAGAAGACAGGATGAAGTTTGTAAACAATGCCCTGATACAGTGCCTGTTTCATCAAGCAGAAACTCAAACCAGACAATATTAATCTTGGAATATTTATTTCAGGCAGATGTTTCTATTATACAAGTGCAGTAAGCCACATTAACTCTTTCCATCCAGCCAGACTCACATTTATTCATAATCACCGATAGGAAATTTTCTACAACTTCATATTGTCCTGTTTTACTCTTAGGCCTAGGCTCATTTTCTTAGACAAAGGATAGAAAGAGAAATTGCGTAAGGAAAAAGCTGGAGGAAAAGCAATGTTGTAACTACCTTTCTAATGCATTCAGACATCATTTATTCATTCACTCTTGTCATATAAAAAACAGAGATACAGAAAACCTAAGAGGCTTCAATTTTCCAAGTAAATCAAAGACATTATGAAAAATCCAATTTTCCAAGGAAAACTCTACAAGAGATTTAAACTTACAAGAAGCTACTCTAGACCATAAGCAAGAGGAAAATCAATAGGGAATGCCCTCAACCCCCCAAACCTATCTAGGGTTTTTTTGCCATGATAGCTGTAAATATTTGAATAGTCTCACTAGCTTATATCCTACAAATTGTATTTACTCAACATCTGTGAAATAAGCCAAATTGTCTAATGATATGTGACATGAGTTCTGTAGAGTTAGACTAACTCTCAGGTGGTAAATATTCCTCTCACAAAGCCATTATCTCAGTTCCTACTAATTGGCACAGTTGCAGGTGCTAGCAGACAGGCCAGCAATGAATGACCTCTCAGCTCTAGAATTGTAGCTGCAGCTTCAGATCGAATGCATTATCTCCAATAGTGCAATGGGCCTTGCAGAGCTATAATAGCATTTACCATGCCTCTTTCAATGGTCAGTAAGTGTATGTCCATTCTGATTACATCCAAATTTTGTGTAACAAAGAGTTGATTTTACAGGCAGTTTAGTTTGGAACTTTTTATTATTCATCTATAGCAAAAAAGGAAATATGTTCTTTTTCTTTAGTGGTGAAATAACTTCAGATTTATGTTAAATATGCTTATATTTTCTTTTAATTACAGACATATGGGACTATTTCCATAATGTGCTTCTTCAGGAGTATGCTAGAGAAAGGAATGGAGTAAATGTTATCAGTGGACCAGTATTTGATTACAATTATGACGGCCATTTTGATACCCTTGATGAAATTAAGCAGTAAGTACATGGAAAATCTAGAAGTCAAACTCCAGATTATTTCCCACTGTATTTCCACACAAAAAAACTTCTATTCAAAAAGAACAAGAAACAAGTATTACAGAGAATGGAGTATTCCCATTATAATACTACATCCACTGTTAACTCATACAACAGCAAATACTCTTGCAAACAGGTACAGTACTGTAAAAGTTGAAGTTCCAATAAAGAGAAAAAAAGCTTTGCAGTTACATGTGTATCTATGTACACACGCACAGATACGGACCAGTAACTTGTTTCCCAAGCTTATGCCTAGATTTTTGGGCCTCTGCAACAGAAATACTGGGAGAATATATGACATCTAAATATGCAGATGTGCTTAAGCGTAATTTTCTCACTTTCATGTTGTGCTCACTCACCTGTGTGTTGATTCTCCCTGTTGTCTCAAACTGATGTGTTTTATCAAAGATCAGATTTCTGCATTTGCCTTCACTGAATCATGTAACTGGGAATGTAAAATGTAATGTTCTTGAGTGGTACCTTTGCATAGCTATGGCTTACACAGGTCACTTGAAGATCTGACAAGTTCTAGGTACATTTTAGTGAGCTCTGGTAGCATAACAAAATATATTTAAAAATTCAGCTGCGTGTAGAAACAGGAATAAGAGAATATTTACATTAAAAAAATTCTATAAACAAGAAATATAAAAGATAAAGACCAACTATTTGTGTTAGTGAATGAGGACACAAGGAAGAAAAAACAGAATAAGAACAAACAACTTAGATTGTTCCAAATATAGGGAAAATGCCTTGTGACAGTAAGAACACTTATGTAGTAGAAAAGTGCTGGGAAATCTGCACAGCTGAATCTGTCGCTGGAGATGTTTTATTCAAGGCTAGACTTAATACCACATCTGTCAAAAGTGGTTTGAGAATGGGAAAATCAGCTCTGCCATGAAGTAGGAGGGTGGAAGGGAGGAGAGACTAGAACTTCCTTCCAAGCAGAATGCTGTAATACCCAGTTGACCACATAATGTTGTCCACAGTTTGGAATAAGCATGTTGTATTCAGCATGGTTAGTCAGTCATACGAAGCAGTATAATGATTTCAGTGATGGTGTTTTGTTGAATACTGCAGATGTACAGCAAATTTGGGAAGCATTCAGCTCCTCATAAGTTTATACACAAAAGTGACCATGTTCACGGAATAGCCAGAAAAGGGAGGCAAAGACACTTTGAATCAGGTATCCTAAACTGGTTTCTATAGCACATAGGCACGGGTCATCATTCTAGCATTTCTTGCTGGCAAGGAACCAGAAGGTAATTTTCTCATCACTATTCTTCAATTTGGTTTCATGTGGTTGAAATTCTTACTGTAATGAAGGGCAAATACAATGCTCTGTCCTGCCTTTTCCAGATATAGAGATCTCTGGCTTTGGCAAAATAGAGTATTGACCATGTAAGCAATCCTGTTGGTTTCAGTGGGACTGCTTGCTGCAAAAAGACTAATCCATACATGTTTGCCTGTTCATGAAACAGATAGTGAGGCTGCCTATCCCATCAGGTGTTTATTTCAATTATAAAATAGATAAAAGTCATATAGTAGTGGAAGATCAGTGTTAAGTTCTATAAATTACTAATGGCATCAGTGGTTTTAACACTTGATATCTAGATAAATCCCTTAATTAATGTTTGTTTTGTAGGCATGTAAACAATACAGAAATCCCTGTCCCAACCCATTACTTTGTGGTTCTGACTAGCTGCAAGAACAAGTCCTGTACTCCGCTGAACTGTTCAGGCTCCTTGGATGCTTTGTCTTTTATCATTCCTCATCGACCTGACAACACTGAAAGCTGTGCTGTAAGTATAGTTCTATGCTCCTGTGTGCCAATGAGCTTTGTGAACTGATTCCCGGTGGGATCCAGTCATCTGAAGAATCTTTAGAAGTCTAAGTGTTTAATTAATTCATTCCCCATGAGCTGAGAGCGAGTTGAGAGCTAAAGCAATGACTAGGAGAGCAAGAAGCTCCAGGAGAGGTAGCTGGAAACTAACGAGCTGATAGGAAGCAAGGAAAAAGAAGAAAGGAGGATTTGATAAGAGGACATGGAAATGCTGTCACCTGAGAAGGGCTGAGAACAGCAGCACAGCCAACAAGGTGAGATAGCTTTATGGAAGGCTGCAGGATAAACTTACTCCAGAGGTATCAGAGGACTTTGTGTGTTACTCCTTTCAGTGCAGCTAGAAGAATTCCTTCAATCCTTTGTTCCACCTTTATCAAAATTAAACCGTAGGCATTTAGATGGATGGTTCTGCAGTTGAAATTCATACTTGAATTAAATAAAATCTATGCTTACCACTAACAGTGTAAATCTTATGTTGTGTAGCAAACAAAATAAATTAGCTGAGTGTAATATGTATTGTTGAGCCAGCTGAGTGCCTATTCCATAAACTCTGGGATGCAGAAGGTTCCTTAGCTCAGTGTGTGTATCACAGAGTCTTCCCACACACAAGTATAGCTGCACAGACTTGAACTGGCCCTCAAAGCAATACAATTGTGGTTATTTAATTTGTTTATAACTTTGAACTCATAACTCTGGACAGGTGCAAGCTTGCGCTGCTTAGAAACAACTTGGGTGTCTCCTCATTTGTCGTGTGGATAATCCACAACTGCCCAGTGATCTTGTTGGTAGTTGAGAGCTGACTAAATATACAAAATAAATAATTTGAATGAATTAGTCTTTATACTTTAGAAATTAACACCTGTTATGTCTAAAGTTTAGCAACAAACCCCAAATATCGTTGCATTGTGTCTTGCAGTGATGTAAATGTAGTGAACCATTTGTGTCAGAAGCAGATATTGTTAACGGAAAAGCGAATTACCATCTGTTTGCAAAAAAACTTTGTAGTAAAAGAATTGAACAATAACATTTTTGATTGATTAGTGCTTACATTTCCATTGTTTTCCCTGTCTATCTAGCAATTATTATTGCTGTACAACAATCAAGACTGAGCTGCTGTAAGAACTTTGTTCAGGTTGTCAGGTGCCTGTTTGGCTAGCCTGAGCGCTGCAGCTAATTTATACTGTAACTAAAAATGTCCTTACTTGTGTGACTCAACTGTACTTTGTAGTTAAAAGTCACACTTGTCATTTCAGCATAATTTGCTTCTGTGTTACTTTGGAGGTGGGGCAGTGGGGAAAGGGGACATCCATTTTATCCGTAAATGCAAGGCTGTAAAGATGTCTAGGAAAACCTGAAAGAAGTTTTACCAACTGGAGGCCTTTAGTCTGTCAAACCAGTCCAAACACTGGTTTTTTTCTAACACCACCACCAAAGAACAGAGTGCCTTTTATGTGTTTGAACATTGTTCTTGTTTGTTTTGGCAGGAAAATAAGACACTTTCTGAATGGGTTGAAGAAAGAGTTCAGGCTCATTCTGCACGTGTTCGGGATGTGGAGCTGCTAACTGGGCTTGACTTTTACCAGGAAAGAAAGGAACCTGTCTCCGAGATCTTACAGCTAAAGACATTTTTGCCAATATTTGAGACTGAAATTAACTGAATAGCTGTAAAAAAAGTGTCAATGCTTGGAAGAAAGCAAATTTAAGTGATTTAACTTTTTTCCTTGCTAAAGTATGTAGTAAACATGACTACAGCTCTTCTATAAGAAAACACACTTAGAGGAGCTAATTTCTTTTTTCAAATTCATGGTCAAGTGTTTTGTGCCAACTGAATAAAAATTACCTAAAGTAAATTAAATTGTCATTGCTGAGCCAGGCTTTCAAAATAGAGAATATTTTATTAGTAGTGGTTTGAAAAAACCCTGCAAAAGGAACATGTTTCATAGTAGAGAGACCCCAGATTTGTAAACTGTATAGAAAATATTTCTCTAATGGAGTTGGAAAGTGAAACAGTTTGAGAGGAGCGTGTGAGTTTTTTCCCTTGTGTTTATCAGAGAGGTTACAGTTATCTAATGCTAATATGTTTTGAAACGTTCTGAATTTCTCTTTTTCACCTAGTAATTCAGATGGAAACTGCTATGTATTTAAAAAACATATTCAGACTTGCAAGAAGTTTGTATATAGTGGAAGTGTCTTCTATGATCATCCCCTGTGTTTTCCACTTGGGTTAATTCATTATGCTAGAAACAAGTGAAGTGAAGTTATAGTAAATGAGCTGTATTCTGTACCCTTCAGAAATCTTAAAGCATTCTGAACATGAAGAGGTAAAAGAAACACTCTAGGAAGAAGAATTTTGTCTGGATATTTACCTGTATTTGCAATGATTTCCAAATGCCTGGCAATACCTAAATGTTTGTGTTTATTTTTAAATAGTTAAACCTGAGATTAGTGCACAAAATTAGTGGTGACATCCAAAAAATAGTTAGCGTTCCTTTCCGTAGTGACTTTATACACAGAGACTCTCTAACTCACACTGTGCTGTACGCAAATTACTACTGAGGGCAAGTAAGTGGGGCAAGGCAGTGGAAATTCCCAGATTCTGCTATTAAAGAAATGTCGATCGTTAATTGAGTGTTGAGCTGGTTTTCTCCACTGAAAATGCTGCTAAGCGCAGGTATGAATAACAGCAGACAATTGACCATTTGTCTGATTTATAGGCACAGTGGGGGAGTTTTAAAGAAACATGTCAAAGAGTGATTCAATCTGTGACTAATTGTGGACTGAAGGAGATATGTCTGTTTAAAAAAGGAAGCTTTAAAAGCCTTTACAAAGAACCCCAACACCGCTACAGGACATTTTTTTCCCCACGTCTTAGATGATCAGTGTATGCAAATACACTCCAAATGTAGCTTAGCAATATTTATCTTGCCTCAAGACGTGGGACCAAGCTGAATGTCAAAATTTGTATCTTTGGTTACACCATTACGCCACCTCCTTGAACATGGAACTGTATTTGACCCTGCAACACTGTGGCATCTAAGTCTGTCCATCTAAATCAGAGACTTCTGAGACAGTTTACTGTCTCAATTAAGAATACACCTGATTTTTCACTGCATAGTAAATCATACCCTAATTCTAGTCAATGAATCTACATAACACATACTAATGTAGGCATGTACATTAACTAGTCTAGAATCGTAAAATTAATTTCAGAGATAAGAAGAAACAGACAGTTTCTTAAGAGTATAATATTTGGTATGTCTACATTAGCAATTTAAAGTAGAATTAGCTTGACTGATGTGCTGTTGTTGTGACTTGATATATTTAAATTTGAATTAACCCCTGTATCACCAACCATGGCAGCAATACAAGCTTCAGGCCAATAATCTAGTTCAATTATGAAAGCAAATTTCTGGTGTAGATATGCCTTTGTGAACAGTTACACTCATGTTTGAGTTATGTATGTCCCTCAGTACCTGCATAATGAAATAATGTCTTTGAGGTTTGCCCAGACTTCTAAAAATTAATTTCATCCATGCTGTCACGCACAACTTAAACAGCAGCAAAATTAATTCACTGTCCTCCTTCACAAGATTCTTTAATATTTGTCTTTATCAAAATGTCTAGCCTCCCCCCCAAAAGCACCCCACCCTGCTGATAAAAGTTGGCCCCTTCTGCATAAAGATCCCTGCCTATCAGGCTGACAAAAACTGTATTTCTCGTTCAGTATTCGCGTAGCATCTAACACAAGAGGATCTTGATCACATATTTGGGTTTTACACAAACTTTTGTGGTAATGGACTCTGAAGTTGCAGTTACTCCAAGAAAGCAAATATGGAAGTGGTTTTGCTATAGTCATGTTTATTTCCCCTGCTATTCATTCAGCTGTCATAGTATCTAGTGTTCAAAAGTGTAGTTGGTCATTTACAGATAAAAGTATGGAGATCACATAGGAATAACTAACTGAAAATTTTGTGTGAGTAAAGGGTTCAGTTCTTTCAGCCCTGTATTCTTCCCTTGGCACTGATGCCTGGGTACTCTCTTCATGTTGCAGAGTCTCCAGCTTTTCAGTGCCGATTCTCTGTGCCGTATCATACAGTTTCTGCCGCACCCCGTGACGTAAACTCTGCTATGAACTGCTTCTGGCAGCATTCTCTTCCCTCTCCTTCTCCCCAGAGGCTGTAACGTCCATCTGTTAGTTGATCTTGTGGTTTCACAGGCCTCAAACCTGTTGCACTTTTTGTTACTTACAGGAACAACTATGGGAAGTTTTCTTTCCCCCATCACTACTAAGTTCAACCACGCAGCCTAGTCATTGACTGCTTTAGAACACAGCTGTATTTCTGACTGATTTGGTGGAAAACTGTGGGCTAAGTTTTCTTGCTTTCCCTTCCCTAGTTACACAAGCCAGTGCCTGCATTGGAGAGTGGGAGAACTAGTAGTGAAGCTGATGATAGAATGCTGATTAGGGGAGAGATTTGGCTCTGCGTACCCCCTTGTATCACATAATTAAAGCTGCATATGGGAGAAAGTGCAGCTCTCAAACCCTGGAGATTTATGCAAGAGAAGTTCATTAGTGTTTGGGCTTTGGTGACCTTACATAATTTTTTTAACGGGTTCATAGGCTTGCACAGGCATTTTTGTTTAAATTTGAAAATAAGTGTAATGACTTATCCATCTGTAGAAATAAAAATTAAAAAAATCTTGCCAGTTTGTAAGAAAACACTCAATACTGTGTACATACGGTTGCATTACCAGTAGAGGTATAGCCTGAAACTTATGCAGTTGCCTAAGACATTTGTACGGATCTTTTCCTTTTTGAAAAAAAAGTAACTTCTGCAATTTGCATGGAGATGGAAATGAACAGCTGCTTCAAACAGAATTCATGTGCCACCACAGCTACAAACTACAGCACAGTCATTCTGAGAATCTAGAAAAAAATATTTTATTCAAATAACATTGACCTGGAACATTTCAGCCACTTACGTTTCAAGACTCTCAAGTGGTTGTCCTGGCTGGCATTTCAAAAGGAAAGAATACTTATTCTTCATGAAAGTTATCAAATATATGAAAGTTCTGGTATGTAGAGGAGAGTAGGGGGGAATAAGTTCTGTCTTGCAGTTCAAAGGCAGTGAAACCGTATGTGACATTGTAGGAAGTCTACCTGGGACACGTTCCTTACTATAGAAAAGCAGGACAAAAGAACAGTTGATGGAATGTGTAAAAGTGATTATTTTTTTACTCAGAAATGCTGAGAAATTCAGAAGTTAAAATAAAGAAACAGTAAAAGTAACAACAAATGGACAATAACACATAGTAAAACCAGCATACGGCAAATATTTAATTTAAAAACATACTCCTCCTTTGATAACCACTCTGCTTTGTCCTGAGAACTAAGAAATAATGCTGTTTCTGAAAGTTTCAAACTTCTCCTGTTTCCTAGGGGATGTAGGTATAACTTCCCAAAAATGGCAAGCCCTTTGTTTCTGTGGTTTTTAGCCAGTTTTGGGACCCCTAAGTATGAAGCTGGAGTGGAATAGGCATAAATCAATCTGCTGACTGTAAAAGCAGATGCTGCCGAGTCCCAGCTCTCATAGCCGCATAGAGAATTAAAAATGTAAATTCTGTAAAACGTGATTTTCCGTAGACCACCATAGAAGCTGAGAAACCGAGCACTCCTGTAGCCATTGAAAATCTGAACTCGGGGGATCTGGCTGTTTCCCTCTCTTATGCTTCAGGGTCTTTTGAGTTTTAGAGTATTAGAACCAAATGTGTAAGCAAATATAGAAATTTATCACTACCTATAGCTAGTCTTGTCTCTGTAGCAAGGCAGAGTAATAATGAAAGAGAGCAGGCAAGGGAAACACAGCCTACCCTGCTCCAGAAAATCCTACAGCCAGAGCAAGGAGAAGCTTAACTGATATTTTTTTTAGCAAGTGCTACTGTTTCCCTAACACCACGCCCTGGCTCTGCAAGACTCTCACCATATGAAACAAACTTTTTTTTTTTTTTTCTTAATATTTATTATAGAAACCACTGGCTTTTTGTCAATACCTCACTGAAGGCTACCTTCAAGGTTGAGTGCAGACATTTAAATGGCACAGAATACCCTTCACTCCTACCTTGGACAGTATTGCTTAAGGAAAATAGTATTAATGGATACAGAAAGGGCTGTTTTTTCAAATTACCTCCCATACTGGTCCTGCAATATTTGTACATAGGATGATGGGATTTTTCATATGCAAAATGTAAAACTGTGTTTATAAGTACAGATTTTTTTTCTACCTGAACTGCGCCATTTCTGTGCGGTGTAGGGAGTTCCTGCCCCTGAGTGAAGAGCTGTCAATAAGGAGGCAGGCAAATCTGTCATGCCTCTGGACCTGATGTCTTGGCAAAAGTGGAGGTTCAGAAGTGTCCTCTTAATCAAGCAGCACTTCCCTGCCCCATCACATTTCCCCTGGGGAGGCAGAAGTGAAGACTGCTGGAATGACTTTCCTTCCAACAGTCTGGAAGTAGCAGCAAATTTGAATCCTTCCCACTCCCTGGAGCAGGAACCAAAGAACAGGAGTGTTCTCAAAAGGATGAAAAGTGGTGGGTGGAACATGATTTGGGATCAGCCAGTGTCAGGGCTTAGGACAGCTTTGGGTTTGAGATCAACCAGACATGAAGCAGGAGGAGTCTTTTGCCAAGGACCCAAATTACTTATGAATGTACACTAAGGAGACCTGGCAACTGGTGAGGCACATAAACCAAACTGCCCTCTGTCCAGGAAGCTCAGGCACAGCCTGCTTTGCCTGTAACGGTTGGAAGTTGGAAGGAGAGCAAGTGCTTCCCAAGGCTGGCTGCAAGGAAGGGC